TTTCCCTACTATCTTTTTCTGTGATTTGCCACAAAGTTGAAACACTTGTGTTCCTTTTCACTGTAGGTGTCATGGCCCGGCTCGGAGCTTGGACTTAACCAAGGTAAGGTACAGATGGTCGGATAGTAAAAATATTAAATTTATTCACTAATATTTTAATATATATGAAAGAGCCACTATAAAAATGAAATAACGTAAAACAATTAAATTTACCTCTTTTTTAGTTATTTGTGTATTTTATGAACATTGTCTCTTTTAATGCTCATGTTTTAATTCAATAATTTAACTTGAAATATCAGTTTAAAATAACAGTAAGCTAAACGAGACTAGTGAATACTCATTCTTCTATACGATAGTTATTCAATGTAAAAGGAGACAATATGCATCCCAATTAAATTGTGTAAAAATATAATAACATTTGGCGGATTTTACTATCTAATATGATCATTCAAGATAATTTAAACATTCCCCGTGTCTTATCATGTCATTTACATATCAGTATCATTTTTAATCTGTTTACAACCTTCATAGGAGCACCGTCTAAAAATTGTGTCACTTAAGATACATCAATGTCAAAAAATTTTCCTTTTACGTTCACGGATACCTCAGTGTTCTCTTGTTAGTAGCATAAATGCGTGTTTCATCATAGTCAAGCATGCGCATGCAAACAATCAAAATAATAAATCTTATTCTTATGATACCATTCAAAAACCTGAACTATAATCAAAATGAAATTGAAGAGCTAGCAAAATTTATCTAATCATCTTATAGAGCTATAGTTTAAAACTATAAGTATCCACTTTTCCTAGCTTCCCTGACACACCGATTCTTGAACTTCCGACCTAGGCCCAAATATTTTTAAACCTAAATTGATGTTAAACATTAACATTTATTTTTATTAAATATTAATTATAAATTAAGTATTAAAATTTAATTAAAACATACCTTACTTTTCAAGATAATTTGAATTGTATCTCCATTAATTATGTTTTGATTTTAGATACATTTAATATCAATATTTAAATAATAATTTTGAAGATTCATATAAGATTCATTAATTAAATTAGTTAGTACAACAACTTACCTTAAATCAAAATTCGAGTTTCGCTAGACTTCCATTCTCCACTTTATACCTGGAATTCTTCCTTTTTCCTTGTAATGGAAGTTTGCGTCTTCAAATAACCTCAAATTCGGGATTTTATTGTTTTTATCCCGTTTTAAGTAATTTTCTATAACACAATTTTAAAGTAAATATATACTCATACACGCCTATTATCTGTAATTATTTATATAACATTTTATCAGTTAACTTGTTTAAACTCTTAAATAAACCTTCGACTGGCCCAATTTCTCATAATCACGAGTTTTGTTCCTCGGTCTCTGCACGCGAGCACCATGCATGAAAGGGATCTCCTTCTTCCTCCATCTTATCCCAAATTATTCCATGCGGAGTACTTACGCAGCTCTACGTGCTGACTCCAACAATATGCTGCTACATGGAGGTTATTGTGAGATTATTGATGTGAAATCACGGAGGTTATTGGAAAATTATTGGAGGGTTATTGGGGGTTATTGCGGGGGTTAATGCAGGGGTAGAATCGGGGAGGATATTGGGCGGTTATTGGAGTGCAACTGTGAAGGTTATTGGGGGGTTGTTGAGGGTTTATTGCGGCGCTATTAGAATTAATGTCTCAATAATCTCTCGATAACCCCCCAATAACCCGCCCAAATAGTTTCTGCGGTTCCACTTCAATAACTTCGTGGTTCCTCTTTAAATTTTTTTAGGTGGGCCCGATATAACACATATGACGACATATTACTGGAGTCCGCATGTAGAACTGTGTAAGTATTCTGTATGAAATAATTCCTCCTTACGCGAGCACCACACATAAAGGTTTCTTCTTCTTCCATCTTTGCTTTTGCACGATACTTATCCTTCTTCTTCGCGTAGAGCAAAGTAGCGCCAAGCTCTTCCTTGTTTCATGAAACCGAAAAACTCGAAGGAGAGTTTCCAGCTCAATATCGACGTCGTTGCCTTCCTCACCTGCTCGCTAGGACTCAGATCGACCGACCTCTTCTTTTCCTTCTTTTTGCCATGGAACAGTGTCGTTTGTCTATCCAGATCTCTGTCAAGCATGATGTGGAGTGAAACGATGCTCTAGTTGAGCCACTCGTCTCCTTCTCCTTTCTTTTTCTTCTCCTCCTCCTTTCTCATGCTCCCCCTCTTTCTCTCGATCCATTTCCCTCAAATTTTCTGCTCTAGAACGAGAGGAAGGGTGAGAGAGGCGCATAATTTTTAACTATTGTGGGGAGATGCGTGTTCTCCAACAGACACATCTCATTAAAAATTATTTATTTATATTTTTTTTGTTTCATATTTCAGTTATTACAGTGGGAAGCGCATTCGTGTTGGAAGATGCAAAGTTAAATTCTTAGCTCCCGGTAGGGCTGCTAATGAAAATAACGAAGAAGGCATTGATGGTTGGAGAACAGGATTGCAGAAATGGTTGGAGGGCAGCGAAGCTGGCTGAAGATGGATGGCAAGATGGAAGGGAGGTGGTTACAGGAAGAAAATAACATAGCTGTACAGTGTTCCCTATGGCTAGGAAAGAGGACTATTGCAACAAAGGGATGGATGCGAGGCAAGGAAGGTCGAAGCTGAATACTCCCTCGAGAACAGGTTACTGTGAGAGCACCACTCGACCCTCATAAGAAGATCAACACCTCGGGTGAGCTACAACGGAGCTCCACCTGCATTTGAATACAACCCGGGAAGAACATCACGCTGGCGGCTGTCCCAATAGAAAACACATTGCATTTGGGTCATTGCTTCGTTTGTGGGAACACTTATATCGAGAGTAGGGTGAGTAGGGGGTACCCCTGCATCAAATTCCTGGGGTCAGGGGAGCCTTAACCTCATCCATCTAAAGCTTCTGACTCTTATTAGTCATGTCAGCCCTCTTGAAGGTAGCGAAAATTTTGTCAGCTATCAATTCATCATTCTTGTAGGTGTTGTCATCCCAAAGAACATCCTAAAAGATAAGTATCCATCCACTTTTGGCTGCAGGAAGTGCTGTCACGGTGGTGGCTGCAGCAGGGCAGTATGGTTGGGGCAACAGGGAACACCACATAGGGGCAGTGACGTGGGAGGGATGGATAGCAGGAAACAGCTGACCAAAATAGCAAAAGTCTGTTGTTTGGGCTTGGCAGCGGCAACGGCAAGGTGGGAGGATGGATAACAAGGTAGTAGCAGCAGAGGCGAGTTAAGGATGGCAGGAATGGTAGGTAGTAGCAGCAGAGGCGAGTAAGGATGGCAGGAATGGTTGGAGGGCAGCGAAGTTGGCTGAAGGTGGATGGCAGGATGGAAGGGTGGTTGTAGGAAGTCAACAAGATAGCTGTCCAGTGTTCCCTGCGGCGAGAAAAGTGAACTACGGTAGGGAAGGGATGGATGCGGGGAAGGAAGGTCATAATACTATCTCGGGGGCGAGCTAGAATTGGAGCGCCACTCACACTTCGAAGAAGATCATCACCTCAGAGAGCTACAGCTGGAGCACCCCCCACCTTTGAATACAACCCTAGAAGGGAGGAAAAGAATATCGACGACTCTCCTGACAGAAAACGTCTGTAAAACGCATGTAAAACGCATGTAAAAATCCCCCTAGACTCCTACGAAAGCAAATATATAATAGGATAAGTTGGAGTAGCCGAGAGGACCTGCTGACTCTTAAATAGGGACAAAACTTAGTTCGGTCCAGGTACAGCATCAGGGTCGCTGCTTCGTTTGCAGGACTCCCGCATCAGCTGAGTTTGAGCTCGAGCTCAAGCTCATGGCTCCATAAGCCTGACTCACGAGCTCCTTAATGAGTCAAGCTCAAGCTACTCACACCCCTGGCTACATCCATTATAATTTTTCTTTTTTGAAACGCACTCTCTTCCCTTACTCTTTATGATAATGCATCTTTCTCTTATGCGGCATATTATGTAGCCTACATCACTTACTAAAAGTTAATTAACGAGTCTAAAAACACCAAATTACCATGATCTTGATTGGTAACTGCTGCCAAACCCTAAAACTGATTCAGAAAGCAGGTTTTACAGTTAGATTATCCTGCCCATCTAATTTTCTATTTCCTTCTCCATTTGTACCTTATTTTCTGATACAACTTTATTCAGATTCCGGATGCCATGAGGGGCAATGAGCGTGTGGATGCAGTAGTGGTGGATGAGGAAGCTGTAGGCTCTCTTGACACACCTGGCTGCGGAGCTAAAATTCTTTATGGCAATAGCGCATTGGAAAGCTATCTCCGCATATATAGTATTAAAGATGCCGAGGTAAAAAATATGTAAAAATGAGGAGTCATGCTGTCTATATTTACTTTAAGAAGCATTTACAAACATACCAACCGATTCTTATGTATTTGCATTTCTGCCACCTAACTTTGCTCTTTACATTTATTCTGCCAAATCTTTTATATCACATCTAACATACAACTATCTTAACTTTTAAAAGGTGAAATATATTTTTGTCATGAATAGGTGAGATAACATCTATGTAAAAACTGAAGTTTAGTTGTCAGATAGAATTGAGTGGTGTGTATGTAAATCTTTCTTTAAACATGGATTTCATTGAATATCAAGTCTTGTAATTTGGACCTCCATATCAAATATAACTAGGAACATTTGGAATGATTAAGCCACATGTTGCTTCTAGATGGTTATAAATTTTCTCTCATTAAAACTGGTACGAAGGTTTTAAGTATTGGTGTGTTTTTCTTTCTGCAGGGAAAATGCTGATATATTGGAAGCTGAAGCGGAAAGTCAATCTAAGGTTTGCTTTTGTGATAGATAACAAATTTCATTCTCTTGTAATTAATATCCTTTTGAAAAATGATTGTGTTGGATGAACTGTGTCTTGCGCTAAAAGTTAAGAAGAAGAAAGAGGGGGGGTGCTTGAAAGAGTTTCTTGAGGGCATGAATATATATATATAGCCATTATCTTGCTGAAAATGGTTAAATAAAGTCATAATAATTTTCTAATTTTGTAAAATTAGTCGAACATAAATTAACTGCTTTTAGTTCATCAGCACAAAGAATAATGTGTTATATATAGTTTATTATATCAAAGAGTGTTATAATAAAGGCATTACAGTATAAGAATTGCATATAAATTTTGGGGGTGATTGAAAATGTGCTAATAAAGTTTGAAGCACACCATCAATCTTAACAGTCTCAGACAATGTCCATTAAAAGATTTTTTTTATTTTAGATTTGCATTTCCTTAGGGTATTAACTTATCCCTTTCTCCTTATGAAAGTTATTCATTGGAAGATGATGACTAAAATGTGTTCAATTTGGATATGAGATTAATTTTAGAAATTTTGAATATTCTTCATCGTTTGGTTTGGGTTTGGTGAATTTTTCCTGAGAAAAGTTTTGATAAGATTGCCGAAAATGGAAGGATCATTGATAATTTCTTATATGGTTAACAAGTTCAAGGCATTGGTCTATAAATGACTTTCATGTCATGCACAAACAGAATTGTTTTGAAGTTAGGTATTGCTTAGTTTTGATGGGCTACTTCTCAATTTTGAGAAGAGTTATCTTGTCTTTAATGAGATGTAAGAAAAGAAGAGGGAGATTTTTGAATGTCTATAAGAATGAATGTCATATGAGAAGACATTGAAGGGCTGATTTTGGATGGATCTAAATATAGAGAAGATGATCTAATAGAAAGTCCTGACCCAATGTTATCAATGTATTTTTCATTATCATTGTCATTGTGGTACTAGTTTATAAAACAATTTCGCAGTTGGGGAGTATATATATCGAATTTTTTTGTAAGAGGGTTCACTAGATATTTAGTTGTAGGAGCAATAATGTGCTCATAACTATTGTTTATCAATTTTGATCAATAAACATTCATGTCATGCATGCATTATTATTTTTTAAATGTTTATATAGGTTTAAGTATAAAATTTTGAATATTATGTTGAATTATTCTTGTACATAGAGTTGATGATGAATATTTGTATAATTATATTCTACACACTAATTATGCTCGACCAATAGTGTTGGGAAGCAGAATGAGATCATTGGATATTTTACTAGAAAGAGGTCACTAGAAATTTTACTATAAAGTATGGTGGTCGAGATGGAAGTATGGAAGAATGAGGAAAAAAAAATCTAGTTAGCTCATGCACTTCTTCAATCAATCCTTGCCCTCTAATCAACTATAGTAGCCATTTATTGTATTTGCATTTTGAAGATTTATCAACTTAAAAGCTATGAGAAAAATTCATTCTTGGATTGAATTTGTGCATTGAAAAAAAAACACAAACAAACAAATTTACTACCAAAGTGGGTCAAAAAAAAAAGAAGAAAAGATTCAAGTGATCATATAGAAATTGTTGAGGATGTTTTCATGGAGACATAATAGATTCTCCATCTTTTGTGATTATAAATAAAGTGGATAAATATGAACCAGTAATTGATTGGAGGCCAACTAAAAATAAGAAGTAATTAACTTGAGAATTCATCAATTCATCAAATAAAAGGCTCAAGCTAATGATTGGTATAATGGACAACTCTAAAAAGAGATTAAAATAGAAAATGAAAGTGTAGAATGATTTCAATATCCATGCACCCACAACTTAACTATGCAGTAGGGTAACAATTCTAATGCTAATATTATTTGTTTTATAATATTCTTTGATGATAAAATGTTTTTTTATTGTATACTTGCACCCACCACTTTTGTGCTTCATCTTCTAGCATGGATGTATCTAACACTGTTCTCCTATTTTGCGGACAAATCGTACTGTCCATAATTTTTCTGATCTTAGGAGCTAATCTTCAACAGTTGTAGGGTCACTGACACTCTGAATGTAGGTGGCTTGAAAGAATGAAATGTTTTTAAGTGTTGATCCACTTCTGCCTCATTTTCAAATCTGGGTCCTGTATTGGTGTAGGATCTTTCGATAGCAATTATTTTATCAACCACTTGTGAGATCAGTTGCACAATACCTGCAACTCAGTTGTTCTGGTGTTTGCATGTGTCTTGTTTTGATTTTAATTTCTGCCCAAAACAATTTCAACTCTAACTTTATGCTCTATACTTAGCCTAAAAGACCAGCCTTCCGTATTATCAGATTCTTCTCAAGGCATGCTTATCTGTATAGACACTAATGAAATTTATCATATAATAATTTTATCATACACACGTGGCATCTTTAAGTCATAAGGGTTACCTATCCCAGATTTATCAACCTATAGCTCTGTATAAATTAGTTCATGTTTAATCTCATTCTTACTTATTTTAAATTCAACACGCTTCCATTATTATTTTCATCCAATAACCATGCTCTGGTACCACTTTCTCACACTCAAACTAACCCCCATAGTAGGTTCAACCGTGGTACGATAGATTGTGGCAATTTGATCAGACCAACTCTTACAATCACTCATCCGGACTTTTATAATCAGGAGCCACGGGGTGTTGAATTAGTCTAACTAGATTGTCGTAACATACATGATACATTGCATTTCAAATACATACTCAGAAGCATGGAAATCATATCATTCAAAAAAATGAAAACTAATACAGAGTTGTTAAATCTAATATAATAACAATAGTTACCTAAAATATATGTACAAAACTCCCAATATTTTCATGCAAAAGTTGTACAAAGATACACATGACTACTCGCCCCGGTGCTCATTGGCCATACCTGAAAGGCAACAGTGAAGAATGAATAACGATGAGCTCAAATAAATAATCAGGGCTAACATAAGATTTTGTGTGTTAAAAAAAAATGTGCATGCTCGTATGTAACTATACACACATATCATAACATACTAGCATAATAAAGAACATGAAAAAAACAAGTGCAAGTAATAAAAAAAATTAAGATTACAACATAATATTGGTTGAAAGCATGAAATAAAGCATGATCATAAGTATATTTATATGTTGTTTATCGTATGTAATCATAACAATGTCCATATCATATATGTCATAATAATGTCACTTGTTTAATGTATAGGATTTAACTATTTTCATTTCTTTTTGTCATAGGTCATCACTTTGCCTCAAAGAGCATATAAACTATTGATAAAGGTCGGACTTCCCCCAACATAGCAACTATCGACAACACTCTTGATACTCCCAATTCCCTAACTTTTTATCACCGCCTAATTTCAATATTTCCTAAAATTTCATACCTCTATATATATCAGAAGTGAATATATCCTTGTGTAATGTACTTACAGGCACTCATGTAACTAGGGTTGTCAAAAAAACTCGTTGTTTGCGATCAGTTCGTGTTCGATTCGTTCGATAAGCAAACCAGATAAATACAGACAATTTTTTTTTTCGTTCGGTTTATAAATGAACAAACACAAACAATGATTTGTTCGAGAACCAAAAATGAATAGTCATTTGTTCGATCATGTTCGAATCATTATTGTTCAAAATATAAAATATATATATATATATATATATATAATTTATCATACTTTAAAAAATTAAATCCTTTAAATTATAATCTAATCTTCAGGATCGCCTCTTAGCTTATATTAAATTCAATAATTTCGTATTTATCTTCAGGTACGTCTCTTAGCTTAAGTATTCTTATTTCTTTTAGATTTATTTAGTTTCTATGAGTGAAACCTAATTTTTGTGAGTGAAATCTCGCATATTGCCTCTAGATTTGAATTTTTTTATGGATGACATATGATATTTTGGTTTTCTTGTAAGCCGTGTTTCAGCTATTTTGCATTTGTGTTGTGATTCATACATGTTTAAGCATTAATTTCATATATGTTTAAGTTTTTGAAAAATTTCGAACAATTCAAACAATTCTAATAAATTTGTAAGATAACAATTCAAATAATTCTAACAATTCAAACAATTCAAACATTTCAAACAAATCCAATCAAACTCGAACAATAATTTCACGAACAATTTCAAACACGAGTATATTTCAAACACACGTAATTTCAAACGAACCAAACACGAACATGAGCTATGTTTGTTCGTGTTCGGTTCGTTTACACCCTTACATGTAACATTACTTGTGACATTTAAATCATCAATTATGCATTAAACATCTATAGGTATTACATGCATCATGGGCATGCATGAAGCATAATAAATGAATACCCGCACTTCTGAGCATAGCATTATATATATTGTAAGAAAAAGTAAACGTACATTCAAACATGCAAGTGCATGTATCCCTTCACAATATGCAGAAAATTCTAAATGCATCTGTGTCAACATAAAAATCATATGAAAACTTATAAAAGATTATTTTTCTTAAATTAACATAAAATTATTTCATTTGACTTGACGGAGCAGTCTTATGATGAGTGTCCACTCGCCGGTCTCGAGTTCGTTGCCTCATATAAACAGTCGAGAGCCCATAGAATATGTAGGATTTCATAAAATTTGGCTCATACCGTACGATAACCTAGAACATGCATTATTTACCAAAACATACTTTAAAAGGGATTTTCGACATAAATTTGTCTTTTCGAAAACACCAAATTCCTCCCCCAACTCTTTTAGCACCTTAATATTCACTTTCCCCTTGCTAATTTCGTGCTAAAATTCATATGGAAGCTTTAAATTTGCTATCAATGCTTTTGATACAATTGTAACGTCTCTGACGATTTCCGTGAGCGAAAAATGAGGCCAACTTCAATTCAGAAGTGAGAGGAAGGAAATTGAAGTCTCAATTATTGTGAAAGAGGGATTCATACTTACAGAAATTGCCCCGGAGCTTCGAATCACGAGCTGCAACAAGTGCTGCTCAGTTCACTGCCTACTTCTGTTGTTCGCCCCTTGCACTGTAGCAATGGTCGCTGCCCATCTAAAAGGTGTCGAACAAGACTCCGCACAAGGAGAGAGAGAGAGAGAGAGAGAGAGAGGAGGGATTTATGAGGAGAAATTTGAAGCTCGGTACCCTATTAGACCGCATGAATGTAATTAAATGCCTGAGAGGTCGGTTGACTACAGTAACAAAGGATTAGGGAAA